GCCGGGCCGCAGCAAGCCACATGCGAAGAAGGTGAATGCAAAAGGAAGAACGAGGGTATGCCCGCAATGGAGAAGGAGTTGTGTGATGGAGAATTGGCCACAGAAGACAGAGAGGATCACAGCCTAACCGGCTACATGGAAGAATCAAGTTGAGAATTATAGTTCCATGCATTATACACATATTATCGCGTTATGCAAGGAGCGAAACATCAAGCGGAAGAACGAGGGGAAGACCGCAATGGAGAAGGAGCCGTGTGATGGAGAAGTGGCCACAGACAGGGGCGACTGTCGTAAACTGCAAATATGGCAGTGCACCGTAAAGGATGGATACAGAACAACGAGGAAACCGAGACACATATCTGAACCAATCAAACTGCGGTGCGCAAGGGACTCGCCTCTCAAAGAAGAAGACCTGGATACAATCAGATGGGCCTCATACATGGTTATTAACTTATACGACCTGCAAACCTACGGGCACTGCAGTGGCATATCATCCACAACTGTCTACCTACCCAGACTCAATTGTGTCTAGAACAAATTCGGAAGACCGAGGTGTGTTGTCTCCACTCTGCACCTACTGCAATGGGACCTCCCCTAAGAAACAAGCTACACTCCAACACTGCCTGGTGGAGTGCACCATGGTCGCCCAACTCTGACAATGGTGGGATGGAGCATGGCATCATCTAACCGGCAACCACCTCCCATGGGATCTCAAGATCATCCTTTTGGGGGAAATGGCCCCGCAAAGCACCAGGTGGACACCATTTAGTCTTTACCTGTTGGCAGTAGCAAGACTACCAATACTAATGGTTGCATGGAAAATGAGATGTGCGCATTAGCACAGGCATAATACATGTGGTTTCATGGAGGCTCGGGCCTCGATTCAAGAAACAATCATCGACAACACACATGAGGTTTTGCAAGAGCTCATAAATATGTTGCGGAAGGAGTCATATATAAACAAACGGAATGAACTCTCGAAGAGCATTCGCTCTATTTGGGTGGACAGTGCAGAAAAACTCTGCGAACTAGATCATGATAACCAACTGCAATGAAAACAGTGGATGCTGACAGAACCACAATGGGAACGATTACCAAGAAGTCATTTTCAGTTCCCATTCCAACCGACCAATTTTGTCCTTCTCCCAGCCTGATATCCCCCCTCACTGTCCCTAACCTGCTTTCTCCCTTGGACATTTCCAATCCCTCCCCCTAACCCCCCCTCATTCCTACTCTATTACCCTCCCTCCCCTCCCTTCCCGACCACACCCTCTTCACAAGCCCACCACAGAAGGCCGGTCAAGCAGGGACTTCCCATGGGTGGTGCAGCAGAGGGGATTACTCCCCGAGGATAAAAGATGCACCTAGCCCCCACTATACATGAATTCTCGGACAACAGATTGTACCTCACAGCTGGAAGGTTGCCAGAGTAGTGGAGGCAGACTCAGACAATACCTGTGAACGACAATACAACGACAATGTGATATTGTGAGGACACAAGGACATGATGACACAATGACATGGGTTAATGGGAGGGTGGGAACAAAAGGCGGCTGAGGTCACTCCATGCAAATCGACTTGTACGAGAGGGTAAGAACAAGGGGTGTGCATAAAGATAATGGGTTAAATGGGCGTGCTTGGATGGATCATGGAGGACAGGTGTAAAGGGCTCGAGTCACCATATCCCACTCATTACGTGCCATTATGGCACAAGAAGCACAACTATGAACAATGTCAACTACATCTCATGTAGCACAGGGCTACTGTCAATAATAGACCCTGCATAATCCTATAAGTAGATGGTTTGTAATTGATAGTCAGTCAGGCCTCAATAGATTGGGCTCGATGACTCAGTTTGTTTTCGACCTACTGTTGATCAGGTCAGATCAGCTGAATAGTGTTCCTGCATCATCTGACATATATTGTTTAACGTGCATACATAGGTAGGTGGAGTTATCAACACATCTCTGCATAGGGACGCCGGAACCGATTTCCAGCAGATTCATTCACAGCATTGTACTAGGATGCTGGACCCGTTTTCCAGCAGGTGCAGCTCCCCACCAATAGATAGAGCCTTCAACGCTAGGACCTAAAAAAAAAAAAAAAAAAGTCTGGTCCAATATTGCAACGGGAGAGGCTAGTAACGAAAAAGTATGTCATGGCTATAACCAAAAGAAGAAAACAATCAGTTAAACCAACAGAAAAGACAATTGCGTGGATCAGTCAATGTAGATCGCCCATAACCTTAAATCATATCGACTCGAGTACAATCTAACTGTAAAAAAAAAAAAAAAAAAAAAAAAAAAAAAAAGTACAGAAGGAAGGGACCAAGTGTCATGGAACTGACCCGCCTTGATGTAGAAGATGACATGTGGTGTCTGCGTGACATGGAAGAGCAAGCCGCCAAAGTGGATGTCTCGAAAGACCGTACAAACTCCATGGGAAAGCACCAAGAATCTATGAGAATTAAAAAACCCGTCACTCAGATCTCTTGTTCAACTGTTCACTCGTGTTCAAAAGTTTCATGATGGACCGATCATCAATGAGCGGTTGACCGAGTAGATTCAAAGACTAATCGTGTTTTTTTGTTGTGTAATGGGGTTGATCAAGTGGTGCAGACCGCACCAAAAATTTTGGGAACAAATGAGTAATGACGAATTAAACTTACTAGTCACGGGATATGCATCTTATTGTGTATATATATGATAATTTCTCCTTTCTGTAAGTTATCCTACGTGGGCATGACTAAGAGGGATCTGAAGTACGGATGGAAGGAACACATCTACTCTAGTCAAGGGAACAACAAATAGAAAATTCACAATTAGCTAATACAATTCGGGGATGAAAAATAAATTGCTATTCCTATTTGGTTTGGCAGAAGTGAGTCCAAAATCAGGACCATCAAGAAGGATAGCATCAATTGTTTATAACCAGGTTTGAATGGAAGAAACAAGAAAGAAAAAAAACCCTGAAGATCGACGGTAGGGTCTGGACAACCAGAGAACACTTCTACTATTTTGAAGGATCCCCTGCTCTTCAGCTGCCCCTCCGCACAAATTGAATTTGATCCTGACCTTCTAATTTTTTTTGAATTCTACACAAAAGGTAAATCCCTAACCTCTCTGAGAGGTTAGGGATTTAACAACCTCTCTCCGCGGGTTTAGAATTCTACAAAAAAAAAATTAGAATCCAAACGGGGGGCTCCTAGATGAGGTTAGCTCCTATGGGACATAACACGGGCAAAAGGTAAGCAAAAAAAGGTAAAGGATGAAGTGATTGCTTTGCTATGTGCCACTTGGAAAAGAAGAGAATTGTTGAACAAATCGCTTGATGAACTGCTTGACATGAAGATTGTTGTTAAATCCCTAACCTCTCGGAGAGAGAGGCAAATCACCCGCGAAATTCTTATTTGTACCCTGAAGAGGAAATTTTGGGTTAATCCAAGGATTTGGCCCACAGCCAACATCCCTTATAATCCGGGTGATAATAAATTCAAGATCAACAGATTGTTATGTATCTGGTTGGGATCGAGGATTGAGAATAGGAAATTGGGGAGTATCCTGCAACAGCGGGTCAGAGTTGTGTGGGAAAAAACCTCCCATTATTGTTGACATTCTGCACAATTAGAAGTTTTATGAAAACGAGCAACCTGCCGGTTGCCCTTGTAATAACTTCAACTTACCCAAAGTTGATGGGCGTGTGAGGGTATGCCTAAGTGAACTGGACAAAGTCTCTGGATTCCTTTGTAACTCCTCTTCTTCCTACTCCTCTTCTTCTTCTCCTTCTTCTTCTTCTTCTTCTTCTTCCTCCTTCTCCTCCCCAGATTAGATTGTCCCGACCCCCTCCCGACCCTCGATAAGATAGAATACAAAATCACCATGGAATTAGGAAGAAGAAGATGACATGAGTTTTAATATCATGGCGTTGCCGCCTTCTCCTCTACAACCCCTTGATACTCAACACCATCAAGGGTCTCAACCCTTCTACTCATACGCCAGTCAGATTGAGGAATACTTCCTACTTCAACTATCAAATACTATGCAATACTAGGCTTTCCTTGAAGAAGTCAACTTCAGCCGATATACCATGTTGATTTAACAAAATAAAATAAACAAATAAATCCAAAGCATCAAGAAGGTGAACAAAACCCATTTCCTGTGGACCGACCTAGAGCCCAGGTTGGTACACAACCGCATCCTGCTACCTCTCGCTATGTACCCGCTTATCCAAGGGTCCAGATACATTATACTATTCTTCAAAAAAGAAAGAATTTACACGTTCTAAATCTAGTCCATAAGTGGACCAGGTAAAACATGTGAGACAAACGCGCGCGTTTCAGATGCCACGACGCGCGGTAGTTGAGAAGAGCTCTGCGTGTGCTGCCCCCTGGTCCTCTTGTGGGCCGAAGGCCAAACGGGCGGGCCAGGATCTCAAAGCTCTAAAAAATCCTTATTTCTTGGCGCAGGGAAAAAGACAAGCCTCATGAGATGCGCCGCCTGGTCCAATATGTGATATGCGACCATAGCATATCCAGGGCTGGCGTGCCCCAACCGGTGCTGCCACATGCAGTCCCTTTTACYGGCACTTACACACTCATCCGTTCCTGGATGAGTTTCCATAGCTCAATCCAGAACGGCTCAGACGTCCGCCGGTACATCCATTTGATACCAGCCAGGATCACCGTGGTGGGGTAATCCTGTTTTTTTAGCTCAATAGCTAGGGTTCTTACATTAACCACATTGATCCCAGCATCATTCGAGTTGTTCAATATCCTCAGGATTGTATTCGCGACAGTCGCAAACTTCGCAGCTCTTGGTCCAAAAAACGAAAAATCCTTGTAGCTGCGGAAACATAGTGGCCCCTCATCCCAAATCGATCCCCCATTCTTGAACTTATGGGACATGTAGATATGAGATGCATTATCACAAAAAATGAGTCTTGTTTCTAAAAAGTCCAAGACCCCGCTCCCTAAGTCAGTTCGTACCAGCTGCAACCTTTCTGGATAATGCTTAAGAGCTTGCCCAATTCGGGATTCGGCCTCAGCCCTCTGGTCCTGTCGTGATTGCTAAAAAAATGAGACAATCAAAAGGTCATCAACGTACCTTTTTCCCATAACCAATCTGCTGTCTGAGCCAAGCGAGCTCAGATATGTGTACTCTGCGAACATACACATGACACAAGCCAGCGGTGGACTGGTCCTTCCGCCCATGGGAATGCCACGCGTTTGTCTCTGAATTGATCCTGACACCAAGAAGAAGGTATTCTCCAGCTGAAACTGAGTAAGGAGACAAAGCCTACTCAATCTCAGCGATCTCCACCCGGCTTCGCCGTGCGACTTGCCAAACGTGGCAGCTTTGGATCTCAGATTAAGGCGGATCCACCGGATCCCGTTATCATGGAAGAGTCCAACTATCCAGTCCACCGCACGACTAATGTGGTCATCGGGTAACTGTGTAAACATTTCTTTGATGTCATAGGTTCGAACCACAAAGTCCAAACCATCTTGGCCGCACTTGTTTACCTTGTTCACAGCATCCTTAAGATGAGATATCGATCTGAGGTTGAAATGGGGCACCTTGATTCGCTTAATCAGAAAGTTGAGTGAGGCAGACAACAAACCAGATGCCGCACGAAATGGACTGTCAAAAGACGGCACAATATGGCGCTTCTTATTTTTATCATTTTCCTTCGTTAGGATGTATGCATGCTGGAGCCCCTCACTCTTGTCCCATTTTTCCAATGCCTTAAACTGCATTTCCTTGTATCGCTCCCGCATTTCACTGAGCACCGCCCAGCGGTCCTTGCAAATGACCTCGTAGCATTCGTTCTCCAAATACATCCGCCTGAGGCCTTGTTGGTACAACACCAGACACTCAACCCACATTTCACTGATGTTACGATCCAGAGGTGACATAACAAGCCCATCAAGTGTCTGCCTAACACCACACACATACTCACTATAAACACACCCGACTTCCATCTTTACTCCAAGCTTACAGACGCCTTGCCAATCAATCCGTAGGTCACCCTTAAGGGCACCACACTGCCTGACGACATCAAGCGCAATATTACAAGCATAGTTGAGAGCTTCCTTAGCGGTAAACGTACCAATGAATGACACATTTTTCGCGTCATGCAGGAATGGGTGTACCCCCTCAATGCAGCTCAATTTAACCGCCACATGCCCATTCAATTTAGGCAAGTTAAATCCTTCACAGGCATATCCAACAGAATCTGCCTGTGCAAAGGATTTATAATTATCTTGGAGATCACCAACTGACTTGGCTTTCAGCCAGACAGTTCTTGTTCTCCGCGCAAACACGTCAGTGAGTGCATGAGGAACAACACGATCCTTGATGCAGGTCTTAAGAGCACACTCAACCTTGCACTTGTCAATCGTCGTACAGAAGGGAATTTTTACAACAATGTTAGCACGGGGGTTAATACCAAAACACTTCTTAAACACATTGGTGAGTATGCCCCTAACGATCTGCCTTCCCCGCTGCTGATTCAAGGTCTTAACACCATTGTACAGATCTATCAGTTCTTCGATTGTCATTTTGAACAGATCCCTTCGCTTCCAGGGATTTTTGAGAATCGCAATGAGCTCAGCCTTCCTGGTCTCATTCTTAGTCCGCGTGCGAATCAGAGACGAGATCACCCAGCTTCCACCTAGCTCAATAGTACTTTTTGCATCTTTGAGAAGCAATTTATCATTCCCCACCTGAATTTTTGAAAATCCAAACAGAAGTACAACCAGGCGTCACGCTTTAATCCATCGCGTGCCGGCATTGTTACTAATAGTGCAGGTCGCCATGCGTTTTCCTTAAAACAACAGTTTGAGAATTCTCAATAAATCAGGCTCCTGACTAGCACCAACACACTGACACTAAAAAAACAGAGGTCCATTAATGCTAGACACTGTGGGACTTTGTTCAGACTTTCCTCGGGGCCTCCAAGTTTTCCTCCTCGATTTCTTCCCAATGAAGTTCATCCCAGGATTGTGGCTCTTGATAATCATGGATTCCATTGACTCTACAACACTCTCCACCCCGAACCAGATCGGGATGGGGACATAGTTACTCGTGCCAACTTTCTGAAACCAAGAATGCACTTTCTGCTTACTAGAACCATGAGCTGCCCGACCATGCTCATACCACCTTTCACGAAGTGGCCTCACTGTCCGGCCAACATACACTAGTTTATAGCTCAGGGACATAAGGACATAGACACAACATCGCCCTTGTAGGATTTTATCCCATTCCTGCATCCCCATACGCAGCCAGAACCGGACGTAAGACTGACCCCAAGCGATATAGCCTTCCAGACAAGCTAACAGAATAAGCAGAGTATGGACTTTATCTAATTCATAAACAATGCACGAGTCAACGGAATCCTTAAGGCGGTTGATACGACGCACGATCCACCGAAGTGAGCAAAGGCTCAAATGACTATGTTTCCCACAAGTGGCCGATCACGTTCGGGATCCGCCTCGTCGGCGCGAGACTGGTTCCGTTGTGAAGATTCACAATCCTGACAGAGGCACCATCCGCAAGCTGATCGGAATACTCCTGCAAGTCGAGCCGCGCCAGCTCCCAGGCTCCCATGTCCTTACAAAAATATTGGATGGATTTAGCTTTGCACATTTCTTGCACCTTAGTATAGTGCAGCGATGTGTAGTATCCGTGCCGTATCTTCATATATGCGGCCAACCCTCCTTCATCCTCTTCCTCTTCCTCTGCATTCTGCTGATTTTGCACAACGTCTACGTCTTCGTAGGTGCCAACTTCCTCCACCTCTGGTTCGGCCATCGGCTGCTTGCCTTTCACATCCACGATCTGCTGCACCAGTACTTCAAGTAGCTTCTTGACATCAGATAGCTCACTGTTCTCCATCTTTACACTCAAATTCTGCTTCACCGCAGGTGCCCCTTCGTCATCATCGGAGATATCAATTCGCTTGAATCGGCTTTTCGACCCACCTCGCGTACGCGATCTCACGATATTCTCCTTTGGTGTGACACTAGCAGGCGTGCGCTCCCCCCCGCGTTTCCACTTCTCGCTACTGGACTCCTGAACTCCCTTCTCGGCCTTGGCCTTCTCATCTCGCAATTGCTCAAGCTCAGCCCTCTCCGCATTGGATAGCTTAGCTCGGGAATCAACTTCATCCAATCGCTGCGTAATAAGACGTTGTGAACTGCCAAGGGTCGAGCTGACCCACACTTTCATCTCATCAGTCTTGTCACTGGACGCACCTCGGTACGCACATCAGTACGATTGTTCTCCTCCAGGCTTTCAGCGGCGCGCCCACTGCCACGACGCTGGCCTGACGCCTTCTTCTTAGCTTCCTCGATGATCTTGTCAGACTTAATGCCGTTCAAGATCTCCATGTACTCCTTTGTGAAGTACGCACGGTTCCCGGGCCCCGGGAAAACATTGGCGGACTGCCCTTTGCCACCATGGCTTCCTCCCTGCCCGTTCCCATTCGACGGAGGTGGGGGAGGCGGCGGAGGAGCGGTAGAAGGAGGAGGTAGGGCAGGAGGTTGCAGAGCAAAAGGAACGCTCCATTGCCCTCCACTTGGTGCCGGGTTACCCGACCACGGTTGCACACCCCACTGCGCCATTGCCGATACTTGATATGCCGCTATCGGAACTAACGGATTCCCGGGCGGAATAGACAGCACCATGCCAGGATTTTGCACCGACACCGCTTGAAGCTCAACCCCCGGTTGCACAAATTGTTGAGGTGCTCCGGTCGGAGCAACACCAGGGGGTGGTGGATTCACCCCGACCATCACGGGATACTGCATCGTGGCACCAGAAATCTGTTGCTGCATCGCGGCAGTCGGACATTCGCAGTGTTCATATTAGTCCAATATCTGCCGTAGTTGGACCACTTGCCGCGCTGTCCAGTCGCTCTGCTGCCTCCCCCCTTTCCGTACATGCGTCCGACGAGTGATGCGGCCAAGAGGATTCCGCCAACACCTAAACTAAGTTTCAGCCAATCCCCAGTATACTGGATTCGATAGTCTTGCCTACGAACACTGCATACCCAAAACATAGTCCAACTGAGAAGTATTGATTGCTGAGGCTACTGCCATCCTACTCCCCCCTTACAACACCGCTGCTCGCTAGCGTTCATAAAGGCGGCAAAAAAGGAGCAAAGGGATATCGCGTACCAGTATAGGTGCGAAATTTACGAAGTCGGATGTAAGCATGAAACCATTGCAATCTTGACACAAAATCAACTACAAATAAATAAAGTGGGCAAAGACAAAGCATAGGAGAGAAATATTATTCCACACCGTGCACGATGAGCACAGGATAAAGCGAGAGAAACGACTACATTCCGACAACTTGAATACAGAAGATAGAGATGATCAATAAATCAATCAATAATCAATTCACCGAAAAAACGGTCGATAAATCACTCAATAAGGCAATAAATCAATACATCAAACAATCAATAATCAATAATTAACACGAAATGATATGATGCACAACAATCGTACGTGAGCGTGCCCAGCGCACAAGTTGGCACTCCAGGCTCATTACAAAGCCACGACAGAGTCGAATCTGGAGCTCCGTTCCATAACAAGATAAAACACAAAATCACCATGGAATTAGGAAGAAGAAGATGACATGAGTTTTAATATCATGGCATTGCCACCTTCTCCTCTACAACCCCTTGATACTCAACACCATCAAGGGTCTCAACCCTTCTACTCATACGCCACTTTGATTGAGGAATACTTCCTACTTCAACTATTAAATACTATGCAATACTAGGCTTTCCTTGAGGAAGCCAACTTCGGCCGATATACCATGCTGATTTAACAAAATAAAATAAACAAATGAATCCAAAGCATCAAGAAGGTGAACAAAACCCATTTCTTGTGGACCGACCTAGAGCCCAGGTTGGTACACAACCGCATCCTCCTACCTCTCGCTATGTACCCGCTTATCCAAGGGTCCAGATACATTATACTATTCTTCAAAAAAGAAAGAATTCACACGTTCTAAATCTAGTCCATAAGTGGACCAGGTAAAACATGTGAGACAAACACGCGCGTTTCAGATGCCACGGCGTGTGGTAGTTGAGAAGAGCTCTGCGTGTGCTGTCCCCTGGTCCTCCTGTGGGCTGAAGGCCAAACGGGCGGGCCAGGATCTCGAAGCTCTAAAAAATCCTTATTTCTTAGCGCAGGGAAAAAGACAAGCCTCATGAGATGCGCCGCCTGGTCCAATATGTGATATGCGACCAGAGCATATCCAGGGCTGGCGTGCCCCAACCGGTGCTGCCACATGCAGTCCCTTTTACCGGCACTTACACACTCATCCGTTCCTGGATGAGTTTCCATAGCTCAATCCAGAACGGCTCAGACGTCCGCCGGTACATCCATTTGATACCAGCCAG